TAAAAGTAACACACTGTGATTCAGAAGCTCACCACAGAAGAGAGAAAGTTCTTCCGGAATCACCTTCCAACCCTAGAGACCAGCAATAGCATCTTAAATTCATTTTTATGGAGATAGAATTGACATATCACATTATATGAGTTCCAGGTTACAACATAAAAATCTGATATTTGTATATTTTGCTAACATCCATTAAAACACATGGGTACAGTATATTTCCTTGTAATGAGGGTTTTTAAGATCTAATCTCTTAGCAAGTTTCAAGTATACATACAGTATTATTAACCGTAGTCACCTTGCTGTACTTTACATCCCCAAGGCTTGTTTCTTTTATAACCAGAAGTTTGTACCTTCTTACCCTCTTCACCCATTTCAGGCCCCCCCAGCAACCACCAATCTGTTCTCCAATCTGAGTCAGTTTTTTTAGATTCCACATACAAGTGTGATTAGACACTATTTGCCTTTCTCTGACTTATTTCACTTAGCATAATGCCCCCAGGTTTCCTTCATGTTGTTGCAAATACAGGACTTCCTTCTTTTTCATGGCCAAGTAATATTCCATTACAAGTATGTACCATTTTTCTTTGCCTGTTCGTCCGCTGATGAGCACTTAGGTTGTTCCCACATCTTGGCTACTGTAAGTAATGCTGCAGTGAGCGTGGGGGTGCATATGTTTGGACCTGCTTTCCTTTCCTTTAGGTATGTATTCCGAAGTAGGGTAGCTGGATCACATGGTAGCTGTATTTTTACTTTGGTGAGGAAGCTCCATACTGTTTTCCATAGTGGCTGTGCCAATTTACGGTCCCACCAAAAGCGAGCAAGTGTTCCTTTTCTCCGCACCCTTGCCGTCGGCTTTTATCTTTTATCTTTCTTAGTAGTTATCCCAACAGACACGATGTCATACTGTGGCTTTACCTTGTATTGCCTGGGCGAACAGCAACGCTGAGCGTCTGTTCACGTGCTGGTGGCCACGCACTGCAAAGGAAACAACAGCAGCGTGAAAAGGGAACCTACGAAATGGGACACACATTTGCAAACCATAGACCTGAGAAGGGGCTAGTGTCTGAAGTAGATAGGGCACTCCTAGAACTCAACAGCAAAGAACAACCCGATAAATGGGCAAAGGGCCTGAATAGACATTTTGCCAAAGAGGACGTACAGACGGTCGTGGAACTTTGACGGGGGCTGCACTGAGCTTGCAGCTGCTTCTGGAATCATACCTTAAACTTACAGAAAAGCGCGTGGCTGGCCTGGCCTCGCGGGAGGGGGCCGGCGAGGGCCACATCACCGCCACCTTGTGGCGGCTGTTCGCCGCGTCGCCCTGAGACGCAGAGCTGCTGCCGGCTTCCCGCCGGCCTGAAGCCCCGGTTCTGCCCGAGGGTTTCTGTGATTTCCCCTCGAGCTCTTACAGTGGTGTCGATCCCCTCAAACAACCAGCTCTTGTTCTTAATTCTCTCCTGTGTGCACATTTGCTTTTCATTCATTTTACTGTGGGTTTACCTCCCTTAATTCTAGTTTCTTGTGGTGGAAATTTAGCCGGTTGACTTGTGAGCTGTTCTCATTTCGACCATAAAAGCATTTCAAGGTATACATTTCTCTCTAAGCACTGCTTTAGCTGCATCCCCACAAATTCTGACGTGCTCGATTCATTCATTTTTGATTTGTTTAAAATATTTTCTAACTTCTCATGTGGTTCGTCCTCTGACCCATTGGAAACATGTTGATTAATTTCCACATATTTGGAGATTTTCCAGATAGTTTTCTCTTCTTGATAACTTTGCAAATTCCACTGTAGATGCTCACATGCACTGGATGATTTTAAACTGCTTTGATTTTTGAGACGTGCTTTATAGCTCAGCATGAGGTACATTGTGTAACATTTTAATGTATTGGGTGGAGTGTCCTGTAAATTTCAACTGGGTCATAGTGGATGACACTGTCCTTCAAGTATTCTGTATCTTCACTGATATGCTGGTATTTTGTCTGCCTTTCCTTTTCATTACAAGCAGAGAAATGCTGAAATGTTGAAATATCTACTTGTAATTGTCAATTTGTCTGTTTCATCTTTCATTTCTATCTGGTTTTCTTTAAAATTTTTGAAATTCTGCTATTGGGTGCATTCTGATTTAGTATTAATATGTGCTCCTGGTGAACTTATCACTTTATCATCGGGAAAAATACCCCTGTTTATCTCTGGTAATACTCCCCATCCTAAAATATTCTTGATTTACAGTCAATTAGCCCATAGAGCCTTTTCTTTTCTTTAGATTAATATTTCCATAGCGTATCTGTTTCCATCCTTTCATTTTCAGTCTATCTCTTCATGTTTGATATCTCAAGTGTTTTTGTTTTTCTTTTAAAAAAATAACGTGCATCTGAGTCTCATTTTTTACTGAATTGACAATCTCTCCCTTTAAGACAAAGGGTCTAGAATCTTTGCAGCAGAATTCATTCCATCACGTAGAGCCAAATTTCCATCTAGCATAATTTTTTCTTCTCACTGAAGAATTTTTTTAAAAAAATAGACTTACAAGAGCATTGTAATTAGCTCTTGTAAGTCCCTTTTTGCTAATTCTATCATCTTTGTCATCAGGGGGTCTGTTTGTACTGATTGACTTTTCTCTTGATTATAGACCATATTGTCTTGCTTCTTTGCAAACCTGGTATTTCTGATTGGATTCAGTATATTATAAAGCTTATATTGTTGAGTGATGAATTTTGTTGTTTTCTTTTCAAGAATGTTAGATTTATTCTGGCTCACATTTAAGTTGTTTGCAGATCAGTTTGATTCTTTCAGGAATGGTTTTTAAAAAATTTGTCAGAGTAGTTCCAGAACCATTTAACCTAGAGCTCAACGGCCCTACTATGTAGGAAAAGGCCAGCAAACAACAAACAAACTGAAGGAATTGGGTAGCAAGCTTCCCCAGAATCGCAGAAATCCCCTTGAAAACGAGGGAGACATTTCTGACAGGAACTGAAAACAGATCCTTATTGGTCTGGGAAGCTTGCCCCCAGGAGGGTAATGGCCTTAAGAACAAATGTGAAGCATTAGCACAAAACAAAGCCATTTGTTCATGCGCATTTTATAGTTTCTACTGATCACTGTCTCTCACACCTGCCTTTCTGTAGCTCACAGTAAAAATCGCTGGATGGTGAGGAGGTTGTTGCAACGCCTCCAGAGCCTCAACCCTCTGCATCTCCACCTGAATTCTGCATTCTCCGTGTCTCAAGTTTTCTTCGCGTCCCGCGAGCACAACACTACCACTAATGCAATTCCCTTCTGAGGACTTTCTCGCGGTGTCTCCCCTTTGCTGGCGGGAATGCATGTTTTCCAGCCTGTATGTGTCCCTGGAATTGCTCACCTAACCCCCGCTGGGTGTTTTCCTCTGGCTGGGGAATTTTACCCGAGTACGTGCTCAGGTCAGTACTCAGGCCAAGATTCATGGGGCCCCTCTGCAGCACTCAGGAGCTCTGCCCCCACCCAGATGCCCCTTTCTGGTTTTATGCCCTGGAAATGGGGATGTCTCTTGCTGTTGGAGACCTCAGTTGCTTTGACTCAGAGGATTGCTGGTCTGTAGGCCTGGAACCCAGCAGGCTGGAGATATTGTAGGTCTCTCCTCAGTTTCAGTCTTGTACTGCTTGTTGCCCAGCGTCTGAAACACTTGCCTCACATTGTTGTCTGGTTCTCTCGTTACGTACTGTGGGAGGCTAGTTCCCACAGCAGTTAATTCTTTTCTGATGCAAGGTGCTTTACTAGGCAGGGCAGAAATGACTAAGGCAAGGTCCTCGCCGTGGCCAGTGTGCTCAGTGGGTTGGGCTTCGTCCCATGCACCAAAAGGTGGCCAGTTCAATTCCCGGTCAGGGCACATGCTTGGGTTGCAGCTTTGATTGTCAGTCGGGGTGCGTACTAGAGGCAACTGATTGATGTTTCTCTCTCACATCAACGTTTCTCTCTCTCCCTCTCCCTTCCTCTCTCTCTAAAATCAATTAAAACATATAAAATTAAAACAAAAAAAGACAAGGTCCTTGCCTTTAACAATTGTGTTGACCATGAAAGACTGAAGATATGTAAATGTATATAATACAAAAAAAATCAAACAAGATTCATAGGTAGAGCACTCGAGTCAGACCCCTGTGGAGAATCAGAGGAAAGATCATATTTGTTTGGAAAAGGAGCTGTGTTTTCAAGAAGGAGGTAGAATTTGAGATGGCTGCTGAGGGATGGGGTAAAGTTTAGAGAAAAAGCTGGGTGAGAGTTTCTATGTCAGGTACGAGGTCAGCCAGAGCAGAGGAAAACACGAAAATTTGAGGAGAGCCAGGAGACCCTTTTCTCTGAGGTGTAAATTGTTCACAAGGATATGGGATGCCCAGCCAGTGTGGCTCAGTTGGTTGAGCATCCAGCCATGCACCAAGAGGTCACGAGTTTAATTCCCTGTCAGGGCACATGCCCTGTTTTGGGGCTCAATCCCCAGTAGGGGGTGTGCAGGAGGCAGCTGATTGATGTTTCCTCTCATCAATGTTTCTATCTCTCTCTCCTTCTCCCTTTCTCTTTCTCTAAATAATCAGTAAAAACTTTATATATATATATAAACAAGGGCTTGGGGTGACCCCTGTGGGATGCACTGAGGTCCTGGAGGTAGATTTGACGGGGAGATACAGTGTTGGATGGAGGAACTGGAAAGCTCAAAGGCGTGAGTGACAAAAGCGCAAAGAGAGTATTTCAGGACAAACAAGGAGTCTATTTTCTCTGGGGTATAAAATGGACAAAAGAGGAATAACCCTTGGAAACTCAGTTCAGGCCCCCCGTGGGTTCCCCTAGAGGTCATACTTTACTTGAATTAAAGGCGAGTCATTAACTCTTTCTAAGTAGCCTATTGGGCAGCGACGACCACAATAACCAGGATTCTAAAAACACAAACTTCTGATATTTTTGGAAAAATATTTAATGTCGCGTTGCTTCTATAAAATCCCAGCAGGTGTCTCCGTCCTTCGCGACAGTCTCACGCCCTGGGGACCGGCCCCTTCCTTCGCCGGCAGCATTTCCGGCCGCCCAGGGAGCAGTTGCCTATGTGCTCCTCCTTCGGGAGGCAGCTGGTCAGTGCGCAGCGGCCACTTCTAATCCTGCAAAAATACCTCTGCACGGAGCTTATGAGTCCTGCATTGCCTGCGAGGAGAGAACAGAATATGTGGGAAGGTTCTAGGGAGGCTTTGGGTATAAATGCAAGGTTTTTGGAAGTCTTCAAGCACACTGATTTATCTTTTTTTTTTTTTTTTTT